TACTTGGATATAGTTATTTTACAAAGCAGGGTATGGAATTATATATGATAAAAAGATCCATCTACATTTAAATTACAGAGAAAAAAGCTAGAAAAAAATATTTAACTGTTTCTCTGCACTTCGTAAATTGCCACACGAAGCATCTTAGTTTTAACAAAAAATATAATAAGTCAATAAAAATATTCTAAACTATATAATGTGCATGGCCATCTAAGTAAAGAGAGAGAGTTCCGAGCATGAGCCCATGTTCAGAGGATTCTGAAACAACATTGTTTCTCCAAATCGCCGAGATCGTGAAAAAAGAACCCAGCCCTGGACAATGACTCTTTATTATTAGTTGGGGCTTTTTTCTGACTGTGTTTTACGTCCTTGGGTTTAGCTTTCCTCAGAAATTTGGTTGGAAGGTAATAGATCATTGATCTGCTCTGGTTTTACAAAGCTCATTTTCATTAAGAGTTCCTAATAAAATCATTATGTCCCTTGCTAAGTCAGGCCTTCGTCCGCTTGGGATAAAACATGCTGTAAATATTCCATGCCTGCACTGCTGCAAAGTTATGAGCAATGCAGGGTTTTAGAGATCTGAGTGCATATCTCAGGATCTGCCCCTTTACAGATAAAGCCAGCGTGTCCAATTAAAATCATGCTGAAAATTAAGACAGCAGAACTGTTTTTATTATGCACCTACTGAATTTTATTTTTAGAATCCCTTTTTAAAAGGGCCATCTTAATTTCTTTTCTTTTTTTTAATTCTAAGTCCTCCTCCTCTGGCTTTTACCGAACTGATTCCAGGTGGCGGAGTGAAGGCATTACACAGCAAAAAAAGAAAACTCAGGCTATGTTAAAGCTGAAAGCAAAATCTTTCCTCCTTAAAACATGAATTTTTCAAATATAAGATATCAAAACTGACTAAGCTTATGTTTGGAATAACATAAAATTATGAAAAGTTTTTAATTTTTTTTAATACTTCAGTTCACTTTTTCTAAAAACTGCCACTGGCAGAAATATAAAGCAGTATCCGATGAATAAAAATGTTGGCAAGGGAAACAAACACCACTTCAGTGGTTAATATTAGAAAAAGAACACTGAGGTTCAAATGGACTTGGTTTAATTAAAGACAATAAGGATACGTATATTCCAATTTCCTGGAAAAAAAAAAAAAAAAAAAAAAAAAAAACCACAGCCTTTCTTCCCTGAGAATATTGTTATTTTGCTTTCAATAACCTGAAATAAAAAAGAACAAAAGTCAAAGCTGCTTTCAAAGTTTGACATACCGAGGCTCAAGTAGAAATACGAATTCTAGTTTTCACTTTCTTCATCGTCCCTCTCCAGCTGACAAAGTTCCTAGCTCCCTACATCAACCCCTTAGCTAATCAGCAGAGGCTTGGTTTATAATTGTTCCTCATGAGTTCTAACATCAGATCCCAGGCAAAAGGATCAGGTTTCAGGCAGCACAGTAAATTGGGAGGAAGTAAGATCATCTAATCTTAGATTCAACCTACTAACTTGACAGTGGTGTCTTTTGTCCAGAGCTTTTTGCTTGCTGCCTGGCTCCCACATCCCATCTTCGTATTTTTATGTATCAAAAGTGAATATTTTAAAATGTAAAGACAATATAGGAAGAAGGAAGAAAATGCCCAACTCTTCATTTTTCTAACAGTATTCTTGGACCCAATAAGCCCATATAAACAAGCCCCTTATGCAAAGGATATTTTGCCATTATTTTAAGACTTCAGAATAGTTATCTCTTAACTACAAAGTTAACATTTTCATTTCATCTGCTGAAGGAACACGCAGTATGCTCTGTATTTCCCTAGAAAGTGATTCAAAACACACTGTAACTTACGGGACGATAATCAAGATATAATTTCATTATAAATGTATAATTCTAAATTTGTAGCTAAATCATATGTGTGATTATTTATTTTAAATAAATTATAAAAGTATTAGAGTCAAACTCAACAGTGCTATAAATTCAAATAAATCCTTATGCTTTTTCCCTTTCTTGTTAATACTTTCAGAAGATTCCATAGCCTTATTGTCATCAGGGTAAAAAATATAAATGCAATGCTTTACATTTCTTTCTACGAAAAATATTAGCATGATAAATGTTCTACAAAAATATGAGACAAAGATGGAAAAAATGTTATAGATTTTTTTAAAGTTCTTATAATACATTTACAAATGAGCATAACCTTCAAGTCACCTTCAAAAATAGTGATTAAAGTGAAAATTCTAATACAAAAATAAAACATTTTGGTAAGTGTGGAACTAGATCCATCATTTTTTAAGCTATAAGAACTTTTTTTCCTTAGTAAGGTGTCTGTTATAACTCTGCATTATCCAGTTGTGGTCAGACTGAACAATGTACTGCGTATGACATTGAAGTTACAATTTCAAGCTATGGAGTCTAGACACTCACTGAATTTAGCTCGAGTAATCGGCTGTTGTTTTGTTTGTATGCAATGTTTTCCTCCTTCTGTAACCCGTTGGAAGCTTAACAATTCCTGAGCTAGTTTCGATACAAGGCAAAACGGGCTAATTGTGAAGTTAGACATGTGTTTCCTTATAAATATCTCTATGCAGAGTCATTGCATTTTCAAAGATCTGAAGAAAACCAACAGCAGCAGCCTGCCCGTTAACCATTTGTTCCTTTTACCTAAAGTACTTTAAGTACATATGCACCATGAAATTACCAAAGGCTTTTATTATTTTTTTCTTTTACGTAAAAGTAGAAAGTAATAAGTAACCAAAGCATAATCACTGCATAATTAGCATTTGGACCTTATCTGATCACATCTTTCTCAGAGTCCAGTCAGGAGACTGGCAGAACTGAACCAAAAGACAGGGCTTTTTTTTTTTTTTTTTTTTTTTTCTTTTTCTATCTGAAACCAGAAAACCCTGTTTTTACAATATTCACAGGTCAGCCCCCTCATTCTGTCATCTGTCTCTCCCAATAGCTTGAGACATGGGCTCTCTTTGCCGGAAAGAGAACCATCCCATCACTCAGAAAACTAGAACCATCTTCCCCCACACGGCCTGCAATACTGCAGTTTGGCATTAATGAATCAAAAGTAACTCCCTCAACTAACCCCTGCAATTTTAAAGTATAAGTGGGCCAAGAGATCTTATAGAAATAAAATCTAAAAACAAAAATCTTTAGAAATCCAGGCCTTTTCTGATTACTCACTGATTGGCATGACCTTATCACTTAATAAAACAAGGCCGAGAGAAAGCACACTGTGAAAACATTAAGTCTGCAGTCTCTATTTTTCACAAGCAGTGGCTTCTCCTCCGCCATCATTCTGCCTGTTGTCCCAGCAAATACGGTCATGAGTCCTGCCTATGGCTCCTCACTTTGCCTGAAAGTAATCTGAACTTTTTTACCCTGAATAACCCCCCCAGAAGACATGTTAACAGTTAGCAGTGCACCAGACAGCAAGAAGTCTGTGTAGATTCCTTGTTTAAAGAAACATGCTGAGAGGTGTGGAAAAATCTTTTCCCAATTAGTCATTAAAATCTAAATAAGGAAATATAATACACTTTAAATGAAGAAAAAATATCTGGTTTTACTCAAGGTTGTGCTGAATCTGTTTGACAATTTTTAAATTAATTTTAAATTAATTCATATGCTTTCCAATCACCGCAGTTACCAGTAGAGAGTACTGGACAGAAAGATGACAAGGCAATGCTTTGTGTTCAAACTTATAAACTATATTTCCCCGGACTTTTCATCTCAGCAGATTTCACATTCCCCTTTCCAAGGAATAGTTGACCTTCAAATGGAAGGCCCTCTTGAATTTCATGCATCTATCATGTTAGAAAACTCAAACTGGCCTGCAAGTTTCATGAATTTTAGTTGTTTTCAAAATCTGCAATCGGCTCATGGTGCCAACCCTGCATTGCAGAGAAATCTTAGTGTGCGATTCCAGCTTGACTCCGGCAAACAAAGTCACTAGAAACTGGTTTTAACTATCTTTGTGGGTGCTGGAGGGAATGAGGGGAGAGAAGAGGAAGGAAACCCCCACACTGGAGAGCCTGACAGGCAATGCCGGGGACAAGCCCCCCGGCGGCACAATGCCTGCGCGCTCCGGCCTGGGCGCTGTCCGTGGTGCTGACGGCGCCATAGCGAGCACAAGCGCCTTACCTTCTGCCCCCGCGGAAGCTGCGGACGTCCCCCAAACGTTAAGCGAAATATAGCGTCACATCTCCCTTTTAATACAAATAACTACCCCGGCCCATGCGTCCTCTTTGTCCCCTTCCCGAAGCCTTCAGGCCGATCGTTCCTCAGCATCTTTTTGTGTGTTTTTTTTCTTCTAGTCCTAACTCGCTCCTCTGAGTCTGCTTTAAGAGGAAGAGTGGGGAGAGGGAGGGAGAAGGGGGGGAGGGACGCCAAGGGAAATGGGGGGTGGGGGGGAACAAAGAAGGGGGAAGGGAGAAGGACAGAATGGCCAGGAAAAAGTCCTGGAGGGGAGGGCTCAGAGAAGGGCAGAGAGAGTGGGACTTAAAGAAGCCTTAAAGTGGGAGGGCGAAGAGATCCCCAAAAGAGGGGAAAGTGATGGTGCATAGAAAGAAAAAAAAAATGGGTGAAGAAAAAAGTGATGGATAAAAGATGAAAGCTGCAGCGGGGATAAGAGTGCAGAGGGCTAAGGAAAAAAAGCAAGGTGGTCAGGGGGTGGGGGAGAGGAAAGCTGCCCTAAGGGCGGGAGAATGAAAAGACAAAGAAAGGGCATTCTGAGGATCCCGGCACCAAGGATGACAAATGCAATCCGAGACTAAGGAGGAGGGGAGCAGGGGGCTCGAGGGAGACCAGGGGTCTGGGACTCAGGGAGAACTGAGGGGTGGGAGGGGACTGGGCCAGAGCGGCAGTTGGGGTCCGGGGTCCGGTGCCACACAGGCCCACGTGGAGCCCGGAGGAGCCGGCACTGAATCACTGCTGGGCTGTCTATACATCCTCCCCCCCCCCACCCCCCTTACCCTCCTACCCGGGCCAGGCTCCCGCAGTCCCCGCCTCCTCGGCCGCCGCCTCCGCGGGGCGGGGCCGCAGCCCGGGACCCGCCGCCGCGGCTATAAATGGGCTGCTCCGGGGCCGGCAGAGCGCGGTGACAGCCACACACCCCGAGGCCTCCCACCATGAGCTACACGCTGGACTCGCTGGGCAACCCGTCCGCCTACCGGCGGGTCACCGAGACCCGCTCCAGCTTCAGCCGCCTGAGCGGCTCCCCGTCTAGCGGCTTCCGCTCGCAGTCATGGTCCCGGAGCTCGCCCAGCACCGCGTCCTCCTCCTACCGGCGCAGCGCGCTGGCGCCGCGCCTCGCCTACAGCTCTGCCATGCTCAGCTCCGCCGAGAGCAGCCTCGACTTCAGCCAGTCCTCGTCCCTGCTCAACGGCGTCTCGGCCGCGGGCACGGGCGGCGACTACAAGCTGTCCCTGTCCCGCTCCAACGAGAAGGAGCAGCTGCAGGGGCTGAACGACCGCTTCGCGGGCTACATCGAGAAAGTGCACTCGCTGGAGCAGCAGAACAAGGAGATCGAGGCGGAGATCCAGGCGCTGCGGCAGAAGCAGGCGTCGCACGCCCAGCTGGGCGACGCCTACGACCAGGAGATCCGTGAGCTGCGCGCCACGCTCGAGGCGGTGAACCACGAGAAGGCCCAGGTGCAGCTGGACTCGGACCACCTGGAGGAAGACATCCACCGGCTCAAGGAGCGCTTCGAGGAGGAGGCGCGGCTGCGCGACGACACCGAGGCGGCCATCCGCGCGCTGCGCAAAGACATCGAGGAGGCGTCGCTGGTGAAGGTGGAGCTGGACAAGAAGGTGCAGTCGCTGCAGGACGAGGTGGCCTTCCTGCGGAGCAACCACGAAGAAGAGGTGGCCGACCTGCTGGCCCAGATCCAGGCGTCGCACATCACCGTGGAGCGCAAAGACTACCTGAAGACGGACATCTCGGCGGCGCTGAAGGAGATCCGCTCGCAGCTCGAGTGCCACTCAGACCAGAACATGCACCAGGCCGAGGAGTGGTTCAAGTGCCGCTACGCCAAGCTCACCGAGGCGGCCGAGCAGAACAAGGAGGCCATCCGCTCCGCCAAGGAAGAGATCGCCGAGTACCGGCGCCAGCTGCAGTCCAAGAGCATCGAGCTCGAGTCGGTGCGCGGCACCAAGGAGTCCCTGGAGCGGCAGCTCAGCGACATCGAGGAGCGCCACAACCACGACCTCAGCAGCTACCAGGTAGGGACCTACCGCGGCTGCGCGGCCAGCCCTGCGCCAGCGCCAGCGCCCGCGCGCCCCCGACGCCCGGGCACGCGCCCCCCGCCCGCTCCCCGGGGACTGCCTGCCAGCGCTTGCGCGAGCTCGCGCACCCAAGTTAGAGGCGCAAAGCGTCCGCGCCCCCACCCACCCTCTCCACACCCCACCCTCCCACCATCACCAGCTCCTAAGAGCACTTGGCCTCTTTTCAAAACGTGCTTCTTGTCCTGGGCGGATCTAGCTTTGCACACTTGCACGTTTTAAAATAGGAGGAATGCATTCGGGTATGTGACAAAGCAGCAACTTTAAGATAACTTTCTGCAGAAAAGCATGTGTCCTCTGCTTTTTCCAGCGCGATCGGTGGAACTCTGAAAATTAGCTTCAGCCCAAATGGCTCAGATGGGAAGGGCCAGGTCAGGGAGGGGGCGGGGGTCCCAAAGCATGTTTATTCCCTGCCGAGATGTATTCTAAATCCACTGGGTTCAGTGAGTGATGTGCTCAGGAGATGTCTTACTGGTCCTTTTGGGTTTGTATATTTGAGAATCCTTAAATTTTGTTAACCGTGGGAAGGGGCTGGGAGCAATATCCGAGAAGGGTGCAGAGCTGGAGGGAGTCTGAGGAGCTCAGGATGGAGGGGCGGGGGAGGGGGAGCAAGTGGTTTGCTAAAGAAATTGCCCTTGAGGGGTGACTGATGGGGAGACTGTGTCTGTTTCAGGACACCATCCAGCAGTTGGAAAACGAGCTTCGGGGCACCAAATGGGAAATGGCCCGTCATTTGCGAGAATACCAGGATCTCCTCAACGTCAAGATGGCTCTGGATATTGAGATCGCTGCGTACAGGTAGGGTGTTCACTGCGGACGTGACCCAAGTACCGCACTGCGGAGGTTGCTTTGACCCAACCTTCTCCACTTCGGTAAAGCAAGCAGGTTTCAGGCGTCTTAAATCAGTGCCTGCTTGCCTTTCTAATTAAAAAGGAATTATCCTAAAGAATTGCAAATGTTAATTCTCCACTTTTTATACAGCTTTAAAAGAGTAAGCGGGAGTTGAAATTGATATGAATTACAGGAGAGGGCTTGGGAGGAGCTCAGATTAATTTCAATGCTTACGCGTCAACTTTTTATTTTAGTGAAAAGTGTTTTCCGAATGTTTAAAGCAAAAACATGTTAGTGTTTCATATTTAGTAGTTTAAGTATTTAACATTTTCCTAGTGGTTTCAGCTTCTCAATTTTACAGTGTCAAGGACAAACACCAACACATTCAATGTCTCTGTTACAGCTTACTATTGCCATCATCTGGCTGAGAATAGGTTTAAATTAATATATTAGAATACATATGTGTGTATATATATATGTATATATATATATATATATAGATAATTTAGATGTATTATATTTTATCTTAGGCTGCATAATATAGATTGTATGTCTATATATAGGTCATGTATGATATATATCTACAAATATTTAGATCTCAAGTTATAAATTTATAGACATGTCATAATATAAATAAATTTACATCTATAGATGTAGATATACAGCCAGACAAAGAGAAGAGATTATAGGTCTACTAACTAATATTGTCTTGCTGTTGATTAAGTTCACAGGAGAAAATAATTGACTCAACAGTGTTTCTATTACCAATAAGGTCATTATAATTTTATAAGAATAAAGTGAACCCACAGAATTATCTTACTTTGCAGAAAAGCAGAATAATTGCATTGAAAAACACTTTATGATTAAAATTGCAGATCAATTTATATCTTAATGCACCCAAATTAGCACTTAGCTATAAATAGATGAGATAGAGAAGAGATAGATATGATAGAGACAGAGATAGAGTTTTAAAGATAGATAGATATAGCCTAAGTTCTGATATATGCCAAGTACATTTTTTAACATTATATTTGCTGAAAGATATTTATATACATCCTGAAAGTTCCAATGCTAAGGAAGATCACTAAGATTTTTATGCCCACTACAGAGCTTTTCAACATATTCATGTTGCACCAAATAGACTGATGTAGCTCGGGGGAATTGGTGGCTGGGTGTTTTACTAGGCCATTGGGAGTGATCATTTACTGCAGCAGGGATTGTCTAATGGCCCAGGAGTATGTGTTACTGAGTATGACAAAATATACCAAAGAAATGATAGCAGGTATTACACTGACTTGATGGAATCCTTTATTTATGTGATTATTCTTACTGAGAGGTATCTACTGCATTCCCCATTATGTAATGAAGCTCAGAAGGCCCAATGTGATTCTAATTATGTCTCGTCTTCTTTGATTATCTCCTTAGAAAATTGCTGGAAGGTGAAGAGACCAGATTTAGCACATTTTCAGGAAGCATCACTGGACCACTGTATACATACCGACAGCCGTCCATCACAATATCCAGTAAGATTCAGAAAACTAAGGTGGAGGCTCCCAAGCTAAAGGTCCAACACAAATTTGTCGAGGAGATCATAGAAGAAACCAAAGTGGAAGATGAGAAGTCCGAAATGGAAGAGGCCCTGACAGCCATTGCAGAGGAAATAGCAGTTTCCATGAAAAGAAAGGAGGAAGAAGAGGTGGAAGAAAAGGAAGAGGAGCAAGAAGCTGACAAAATGGTAGAAACCAAAAAGTCTCCAGTGAAAGCTACTGCCCCTGAATTTAAAGGAGAGGAAGAGGGAGACAAGGAGGAAGAAGAAGAAGAGGAGGAGGAAGATGAGGGTGCTAAATCAGACCAAGCCGAGGAAGGGGGGTCTGAGAAGGAAGGTTCTAGCGAAAAAGAAGAAGATGAGCAGGAAGAAGGAGAGACAGAGGCAGAAGGTGAAGGAGAGGAAGTTAAAACTAAGGAAGAAAAGAAAACCGAAGAAAAGAGGGAAGAAGTAGTCACCAAGGTGGAGCTGGTGGCAGATGCCAAGGTGGAAAAGCAGGAGAAGGCCAAGTCTCCCATGCCAAAATCCCCCATGCCAAAATCGCCAGTGGAAGAGGTGAAGCCAAAAGCATTAGCTGGAGCTGGGAAAGATGAGCAGAAAGGGGAAGAAAGGAAAGTGGAGGAAGGAAAGAAAGAAGCAGCAAAGGAATCTCCTAAGGAGGAAAAGGTAGAGAAAAAGGAGGAAAAGGTAGAGAAAAAGGAGGAGAAGGTAGAGAAAAAGGAGGAGAAAGTAGAGAAAAAGGAAGAGAAGGTAGAGAAAAAGGAGGAAAAGCTGAAAGATGTGGTAGAGAAGAAAGCTGCTTCCCCAGTGAAGGAGGAAGCCATGCAGGAGGTGGTGACCATCACCAAAACCATAAAGGTGAGCGTGGAGAAAGGTGCCAAAGAGGAGGAGAAGCCTGGGCAGCAGAAGGAGAAAGCAGAAGTGGAGGGAGGGAGCAAGGAGGAAGGTGGTGATCAAGGCTCAAAGGAATCCACCAAGGAAGACATAGCCATCAATGGAGAGGTGGAAGGGAAGGAGGAGGAAGAGCAGGAAACAAAAGAGAAAGGTAGTGGGAGAGAAGAGGAGAAAGGGGTTGTCACCAATGGCCTAGACTTAAGCCCAGCAGATGAAAAGAAGGGGGGTGATAAAAGTGAGGAGAAAGTGATGGTGACCAAAACGATAGAAAAAATCACCAGTGAAGGGGGCGATGGTGCTACCAAATATATCACTAAATCTGTCACTGTCACTCAAAAGGTCGAAGAGCATGAGGAGACCTTTGAGGAGAAATTAGTGTCTTCTAAAAAGGTAGAGAAGGTCACTTCACACGCCATCGTCAAGGAAGTCTCCCAGGGTGACTAATCACTTTAGTCTATTCAAAAGGTTAAGCCATACGACAATTTCAAAATGCATGTTAATGACAGCTTTCAACATAGAACGGGTTCTCCCATGGGGGTTCCAGACATTGTATCTTACATTGTGCAATATGAGGGAACTGCATGCAAGCTCAGGATGCTCCCTCCTCCGTCTTTGGGGGGTTCAAATGCATGATACTGTATGTACCTGGGGAATTGGCCTATTTACTAAACTTTTGGATGGGGTCATTCACAAGGGGGAATGTCTTGAGATGTCTAATGCAAAGAACAAACTGAGCCAAACATAAATGAATCACAGAACTCTCTTAGCCTTAAGAAAGCTACAAATGAATAATTAAGTTTACCTCACTGGTGCATTTAAAATGGACTTTCTTTCATGGGAGAACCTTGTTGACATGCAAGTTCATGCAGTTTGCAACCTTTCGCTGATCGATGCTAAACGTCACAGCAGTCCTTGCTCAATAAAGGTCATATTGGAAACAGTTGATTGCCTGGTGTAACGTCATTTCAAAGGGAAATCTTCACTGCCTGGCTCTTCCTTTCCTAGGAGTACATTATTTGGGATGGGAGGTTGTAGACAAGCTGCATTTCTTATCAGTATTTCCCTGAGAGTAAATTCTGGGGAAACATAACCAACTGAAAACATTTGCAGGTGTCAAAATCGTTACTTAGCCTAACCTTCATCCCAAAATGTCAAAATTATAGTTTTGGGATTAAAAAAAAAAAGGCGTCAGATAAAAAGGTAACATTGGTGGGATAGAAGTCTTCAATCTCCAGGTATTTCCATCCTAAACCAGAACTCAGAGATCCTCAAGGTAAGAGGGACATATAAAGGAACCATAATATATTCCTTGGGGTTGGGACACAGAGGACCGGATGGGGTTTATATCAATGTCCAGAAGAAATAAGATTGAAATAACAGTACATGTACTAATGAGATATCCAGGCTCAGGTGTGTAGTTCTGATTCACACACACACACACACACATCTGCAGCACTGGTTCTTTTTTAAAAATTGATTTGAGAGAAAAAGAGAAAGGAGGAGGGGGGAGAGAAACACTAATTTGCTATTCCACTTATTTATGCATTCATTGGTGATCCCTGTATGTGCCCTGCCTGGGGATCAACCCCACACCTTGACATATTAGGGCAGTGCTATAACCAACAACTGAGCTATCTAGTGAGGGCCTGCAATGCAGATTCTTGATATGATTGATGAAGATTTACATGTTAGGTGTTTTACTAATTGGGGAAATAGTGTCAGAAATAAGTAAAAACCTCACTTATAAAAAGAAAAAATAGATTATTTGATATTCACACTTTAAGTATTGTTTTTCATTTAAAGGCCTGATCTTCACCAAGGAAATAATACAGATCCTTTTTCATATTATATCTGTTCTAGACCTTGAAAACTATTAATAATTTATTAGTTAATACATTATTTGTTCCAAGTTCTTATTTTTTTTCTTATCAATAGGATTATCCTAGTAATATAATCTTGGATACCCTTCTAAACAGCTTTTCAAAATACCTATTTTAATTTCTAAGTGTAACCAGGAAGCTCATTGTGAATATCAATATTTATAATTATTTTCCCCATCCTTTAGTTATTTGATATCTGCAAATCACTTGTACTTAAGTTTTCTGCAAAAATACTAATTTTTAATGAAGCAGTTACATCCATGACAACCAAGGTGAAACAAGATGTTTAAATATCATCAGCAAAATCTTACTCTAGTTATGTAAAATTAAAAAGTTAAAAAGAGAATATTGGAAGGATACAGGATACCTCTCAGGATGGGAGGAAGATTCAAAGAGGCAGGTGCTGGGGAAGACCAAATGGGAAGCCCCAGGAACTGAGGGAGCAGGAAGTGACATGCAGCCACCAGGCTCACTGAACTCAATCCTCGGAATCACTTCTGTGGAAGTTCTGAAGCAGTGCATGCATTGGCCTGACACCTGGGCTAGCAAAGGAAGAAGCACTTTGGATGATAGTCCCACTAAGACTAACTCCAGTGATGTGGCAGCATTTCCCCACAGAAGAGTCTGGGAGCTGTAATCTGAAAGGGAAACAGAGGCTGGATCTATATGGTAACCTTAAGTAGCTACAAATAGAGAGCCACTACTGTAAAAATATTCCTCTGCTGATTACTAAAATCAGCTCATTTACCGGTGCTGGCCTCTGAGTTGTGAGAGTTTAGAAACCCCTTTTAGTAGGGCACACTGTTTAAAATAATAGAATCCATCAGAACACTCATCCAGACACAAGGCCAGCACAAGAGACTTGTCCCTTAAGCTCCCAACTTCATTTTCAACTATCTCACTTATTTTTTTCCAAGAAGGAAAGAATCAAATAACACGTCCACTGCTTTTCCTTCTTGCAATATAATAGAACAACATACCTTTGATAAACCATGTGGACATTTATAAATATATCAAATTGCTTAATTGATTCAATAGCTTAAATATGTATTATAGACTTGGGCCTGGGGATACAGTGATTTCTCTTCTGGAGTCCACTAATTATGTTGTCTATGCCAATGGTTATACTATGGTTTAAAGAGGAAGCAAATTTGAAATTCATGTTTCCAAACATGTTCAGTGGCAGAGACTATAGCTAAAACTAAAGACAAACCTCCAAGTGTTTAGGAAAATAGAATACCTTTTCTCTGACTACTAGTCTCTGGCTATCATGACATTAAGCCTTTGAAAAATATAATCCACATTTCCAGTAGATTGCCTTAAAATGCCATTTCACTTTAAATATTGTGAGAAATACTAAAGCTTATTAGTTCTAAGTTTCAAACATAAGGAAATTGAAGCAGAGAACATTAAAAACACACACAACTTCCTCTAGAATAATTAATAGAGATGGGAGTTAACCCAGCTTTTCCACTCTAAAACATGTACTTCTTAATCCCTTATAATTACACTGCCCCTCAAATCCATTCATTGAGGCCCTCTCAATTTATAAGGAGGGTCTGCTGTGTTCCCTTCTTTCTTTTCAGATTGAAAAAAATAGTTATGCCATAAATCTTTCATCTAATATTCTTACAACTCTCTTCATGTGTTAAAAATCATGCAATGGCACTGTTTGAATTATGAGAAGAATAAATCATTCAGATAAAAAAATAAATGATTTCTTCTATCACAACAGCTTGCAGTGTACAAAAGTGTGGCAAACATTTTTCTCATGGTGACTTTAATATGCAATGGAAAAGGAAAGTTATTTCGGGCCCACTGCCTTCTATTGCCAGTCAGTGTATTAAAACATTGGGATATTTGTTTCCACAACAAATAGGTTGGTTGTTCCAGTTTGGCTCAAGTTATTTTTTCCTAGTGATTTATGTAACTTTCTCAAAGGGAAATAGAATCTATTTTAAGTGAATTATTCTTTAAATATACAAGATTTGTCCACTTCCAGGGCTCTTCTACCCTTAAACATGTAGAGCTTTGGCAAAAGCACTGGATTTGAGTTCAAGTTCCAAGAATCAGGTCTCTAGCTAGTAAAAATGTGTGTGTTATGTCCATTTTATTATTCCTCTAAGCTTCTGCTATAGACTGAATGTTTGTCATCTTCAATTTCATATATTAAATATCAATGCCAAATGTGATGGTATTTGGACTTTGGGCCTTTAGAGGGTGGGGTCCTCATGAATGGGATTAGTGCCCTTAAAAAAGAGACCCCAGAGAGCTCCCTTGCCCTTTCCACAATTTAAAAACATTGAGAAGACAGCCATCAATGAACCAAGAAGTGGGTTCTGACCAGTCACTGAATTATGGTGCCTTGATCTTGGACTTCCAGCCTTCAGAATTATGAGAAATAAATGTATGTTGTTAATAAGCTACCCAGTCTTTTACAGCATCCCAAATTCTTTAAGAAAGCTCCCACTTCCTTATCTGTAAAATAGGTCAAAGGGCTGCGAGGTCACTCAATGACATAACATCAGTGAACATGCCTTGAACTGCAACAAGCACATAGAAGCTGATCCAAACCATCTGTTGAGCCTGGCCAGGTGGCTCGGTTAGTTGGAACATTATCCCATTCACCAAAAGATTGTGGATTTGATTCTCGGTCAGGGCACATACCTAGGTCTTGGATTCGAGCCCCAATCAGGGCACTTAGGGGAAACAACTGATCTCTCTCTCTCTCTCTCTCTCTCTCTCTCTCTCTCTCTCTCTCTCTCTCTCTCTCTCCTGTTCCCTGCCTCCCATCCTCTCATATCAATAAAACATATTCTCTGGTGAGGATTAAAAAAGAACATTTTTGAAAGTGTTGAGTTTTAAATTGGATCAAACTTATAGATGCAGAATGTAGTTCATTTGAAGATACAAAATTAATTTCCTTTGAGATGGTTTTAATACAGATTGCAATTACAAAGAGTTTACCAGAATATAATATCAATATATATGAACTCACATGACCATACATTTCTTTATCGGTGTACACTGCTTAGACACTCAATGATCCATTTACACAATTCTGGGGCATAAAAGTTTCTTGATGCAAATAATTTAAAACAATATTGAGAATAACAGAGAAAAATAGTTTTGTGTTAAGCCTATAAATAAAAATTTAAATCCTCAGATCTATGTTTATTATTCTTAATACTACAACACAAGATTTTCAAGTTTTCTTTCTTATTTGAAGTATTTTGAAGTTATCACATTGTCTTTTCAATTAATGATTACTTTAAGGCAATTATACTTAAATCATTTCTATAGATCTGGTTAGCATTTTTGTCTTAGAGCATAATTGGAAGGAAAAAAATTAACAATAAATGATATTAAAAAAAAAAAGTGTGTGTGTGTGTGTGTGTGTGTGTGTGTGTGTGTGTGTGTAATATTTAAGAGGAGGGTAATTATTCTTAAGACCTAAGTGGAAAGTTAGATTCCCATGCCTATGGTCTTGTTTGGGGCAGGGGTTGCAGGCAGATGGGGGAATCAGAAAGGAGGAGAGCACAGAAGCATGAATCCAAGAACTCAAGTGACAGTATTATCTCCAGAAGGCAGACACAGGAAATTCCTGATTCTGCATTGAGATTATATTATAGGATCACAAGTCAGCAGTTGATTGCTAATATGATAGGCTGTATCTTTTGGAATTCTCACATTCAGAATCGAGTAGGCCTTGACAGCTAAAAGAGATGCCAATGAAATTAGCATCCTTATCTAATTGGTTCTCATCTCTTTTAAGAACTTTAGTGAATTGTTTAGGATAAAATTACCAGTACATTGTGGATTCTGAATACCCTCAATTTTAATTATTCAAAATCTCCTCCAGAAAAATCATAGATTAGGTGAATATCTATTTTTTTTTAAAAAAAAAAAAAAGGGGGAAGCTGTCTGTCCTCTTCTCCAAATTTCTTTCTGATCAAAGTTGCCTAGCTGTTCCTCACTGGATTCCTGAGTGGCCTAAATAAAATTATAAATGTCTGACAAACAGTAGGTGCCTTATAAATGGTAAATTCTTCTTGCCATT